CCTCAAAGTGGATTTATCGACGAGGTAGGTGAAGGAGAGGGTTTCGGCTATAATTTGAATATACCTCTGCCAAATGGAACAGGGGACCGGGGATATGAGTATGCCATGGAGAAGTTAGTTGTCCCAGCAATTCAAAAGTTCAAGCCAGATATGTTGGTTTTGGTTGCAGGCCAAGATTCAAGTGCTGTAAGTCAGTTAATTTATTTACTGTTTTTAAGAACAATTTCTTTGTTTTGTTTTGTCATTACTTTGTGGTTATTTAGATTAATTGGAGGTCTACTTGTATAAAAAGGAACCTTAGTAGTTTCAAATCCTAATTTTTAATTATATTGTCTTCTGTAACTTTTTTTAGCTTATTGAAATAGAATCTTAAACAATTTCTAATAGATATGAACTATGTTGGTATTTGTGGATTCATATACTGAACCCAGTTATTAGTTTTTTACTAGATTCTATATCTTTCATCCTGTTTTTGTTTTTCAGATTTTGGCGGCCATGGAACCTTACCTAAAGCCCAAAAATTCTCAAATTTAAGCCCTAAACTAGTTCCAATAATTAATAGATTTACTGCCACTATCCCGTACGATGAAGAAAAAGGCTCCAAGTCTTATTTTTTATGCACAGAATAACTGAACGAAATGATAAGTATGAACATGTTCAGGTGAAGGATTGATAATTAGCTGTAGAGAAAACCGTTTGGAGATGATTTCGAAGTACAAGCTGGCAGGATGCATTATTTGCAATAGGTTGTCCAGAATTTACTGTAGAAAACTCATGAATCTGATGCATTTCGTCTTTGGTGGCTGCCTGAACTATTTTGGAGTGAAAAATGTGACTGAAATATTGTAGAGGGTGGTAATGATTACAATTGTAGATGTCAGTTGTGTTGTAATCTGCCTACTCTATAATCCTTTGGTTCTGAGTTTGTTTTTGGTTTTATATTGTTATCATTGATCTAATATTGCTTCAACTTGACTTGAAAGAACATTTGATTGAAAGGTTCTGTTATTCTTCTTTGAGGGGGTAAATGATGATGATTCTACTTATGGTCATGCTTTTTCATAGAATTTCAAGTTAGGAAATCAAATTAATCTTTCAATGAAATGGTGAAACAATGACATATCTCAAACCGAGATGGGTTCGTATATTAGCGGTAGCTTACATGGTTGTAAATGAAGAAATCATACTTAATGTTTGCAATGATTAAACATTGCATCAAACAGCAACAACTTTTCAGCCTTGGTTATATTTGATTGTTGTAAGCTGACTTTTTACTTTTGAACATTACCTTTGATTTAGTTCGACTCAAATGGAAGGCAATGCTTGACAATGGATGGTTACCGAAAAATCGGGCAGATCGTTTCAGAGCTGGCAAGTAAGTACAGCGGTGGACGCCTCCTTATAGTCCAAGAAGGGGGATACCATGTTACTTATTCGGCTTATTGTCTTCATGCAACACTTGAAGGGGTACTCAACCTCTTGCCTCCTTTGATATCTGATCCGATGGCTTATTACCCGGAAGACGAGGCGTTTTCTGTGAAGGTAATTGATTCCATTAAACAGTACCAAGATGAAAATGTGCCATTCTTAAAAGTGTAGCATAGTTTTGATAGGTATACATCTGTATTGGTTGATGTTTGTGTACTCTTTGGTTGGACAAAGCATTCTAAAGTTTGGTTAATATAATTATGCGATGCCTATGATAGCTTCCAATTATCTAGAAAACCAAGACAATTTTGATGGGACATTATCTCTTTGCACAGCCTCACCAGGTAGTAGTAGAAAAAGTAGGAATCTTACTTCCTCTATTCAGTAAGAAGATAGGTGTCTCTAGAATAGGGAAGCTCAGATTGAAGATTTATCGAGTTTGTTTTAAGGGCACCCGCTTCGTTTTTTTGGGCTCCTAAGCGACAGTGTAGTGGTCACGTTGAATAATTTTTCCTAGAAGAGACTGTTCGAAAGTAGGAGACTTTTTGTGCCACTGAAAGCCCGGGTAATCTAGTCTTTGAGACTTGATGGTTTATTGAGAGAGTCGTTTTCAAAAGTTGAACATTTATTGAATATGATAGATTTTAGCCTCACATAAGTCGAGTCGAGGGGAATTAGAGAGCTCTCATTCTCTCTCAATTCTCCACGAAGAACCCACAAAATAAAATACCCAAAACTAACAGAATTTCTTACGGGACCCATGCCCATTGCGTAATATCACCCCTCTAACATACACGCCCTCTTACCTACGTGCTTGCGTTCATACACGCCCTCTTACCTACGGGACCCATGCCCATTGCGTTCATTGATTTTTCTTTTCTTCCTAATAACTTTGTTTGCCTCATCGTCCAAAGCTCCTTTGATACCTTCGAATGGATATCTCAAAATGTTTGGGTATTCTACATCATTAGAAAATAAATGTAGGAATCTCTCGTGGCAATGTACTATTACTATAAATAAGACTTTGACCTTTAAAGGGGTGACAAATTTATTTAAAATAAGGTTTATAATTTAAGTATGAGATTGTGAAGATGGACATTAAAAATGCTCTCTCTTGATTTGAGTTCTAATTAATTAAAAATCAACAAGTGAAGCCAACTTTACAAGGCACCTCTTTTTTTTTTTATAAATTCTCCAAACTCCAAAGCTCAAGGAAGGAAGATAGATGCTTTAATCCAGAGTGGAATATCTACCTTTTAAAAGTATATTTAGTCAAAGCCACGTTATCTTGATATATATATATATATTTTAAATCCATGTGTTCGGGTCAGTTTGCGCGCACCAGAATTTTATATTCTTTTTATATGAATTAAATAACGAAGTGATAATTTTTCAAGGAAAAAATATGATTTTTTTCAATGAAATAATATATTGTATTTTAAAATATATTAGAACTTTACCATTTTTAGAAAAAACCAATTTTATATTTTTATAAACATGATACGAGAAACATTATATTTTGTTTATATAAAATTCTATAAATTTATTAGGTGGTCTTTGAAATTTCTTGTTTGATTTTAATTCTTAAACTTTTGGATGCTTTGTTTTAGTTTCTAAATTTTGCTTTAGAAAAACTATTTTAACCATTGTCATTAAAAAATTTCAAGGGCTGATCTTCATTGAGATGGTCCTTCAAAATTCTGGTTTTATTTTTTTCTTTTTAATTTTATAAATTTTCTTGAATTATGACTTTAAACCAGAATTAAGTATAAGGAACAATATATCACATCTTATTTTTACTCCATTTTTACAATAGTTGCTCTTTTAATTTTAATTTAATGATAACTAATTAAATTTATATTTAGGTCAACCTATGATATTTAGGTCACTTAGTCCCCAAACTTAATTGAAATCACTGTTGATGATGTGATGAAATTCCATACACAATCTACTCCATCTAGTTTCAAACATCTAGTCATATATTATCTTTTTACTCAATGATTTATGAAAAATTTAGGATATAAGCTAAAACAATTTTTTTATTATTAAATTACAAATTTAGTCCCCAAATTTTTTAGTTTGTGTCTAGTTGGTCCAATAAGTTCTACTTCTTGTCTAATAAAATTCTAACTTTCAATATTTTGTCCAACAAGTTTGTGAACTTTTAAAAATGTCGATTATTTCAATAACTTGCTAGATACAACATTGAAAATTTAAGAACATGTTAGACATAAGATTAAAATTTTAAGGATATACGTTGTCAAAAAAAAATTTAAGAATATATTAGATACTTTATATAAAGTTTAGGGACAATGATAAAAATTCATAAATCTATTAGTATTAGACATCTTTTAAAGTTCAAGAAGTTATTAGATCCAAATTTAAAAGTAAAAAACCAAACTTGTAATTAATTTTTTTTCTTTACAAAGTTCAAAATTCAAACTAAAACTTCCAAACGATACCCGAATGGTAAAGACTTGTGATATCTAGAGATATCTCTAAAATCTGGAGATTGACATCTAGAGATATCTCTAAAATCTCATCTCCAGGATCTCAATAATTTAAAATATTTTTTCAACTTCAAACACTTATTTTCTGAGTTCAATTTATATTCCCACATATTATACTAGAAAGAAAAATTAAAATATATTTTTGATCAAAAGGTCACAAAATTTTAATAAATGTAGTAATATACTACAATATTTTGATTGGAGATATATGTAAATTACTGAACTATGCTCACTTTGACTACAATGAACTTAATATTGTACTAAAAAGTAAAATTAAAATATATTTTCGATCAAAATGTCGTTATAAAATTTTAATAAATATAGCAATATACTACAATGAACTTAATATTGTGTGTGAAAGGCATTGATTATTGAATTGAACAGCACACGCTATGTTTGTCGGCGTGGAATTTCTTTTTATTTTATTTGATTTTAATACGTTTTAAACATTTTCTGGAATAAATTTATTCATACGAGGAATAGAATTATCCTGAATCAACGGCATCTGTTTGGAAACTGGGACTTCCCCGTTCTTCCTTACTTTATCATGACACGTGGGCCCCATCTTCTTGTCTCTTCCTTGTACAATAATTAACACCACTCCTAATTTTTTAATAACATGAAATAATGTAGAAGATTATATTGCATATAATATAAAAAGTTTTAAATATTATTTTGGTTCATATGTGACGGTTGATTCGGGTGTTTTTACTTTTAAAACATATATTTTAGTTGATGTATTTTTTATTTTTGTTCACCTTAGTTCATGTACTTTCATTTGTTTGGATCTTAGTTTTTAAAATATGACAATTTTGGTAGTTTTTACAAAATTTTAACATTAATTTTATACCAAATATAAACTTTTTAATACGAATTTATAGCTACATTTTAAAAAGTTCAGCGATTCAAGTATCATGTTAAAATTTTGATAGAAACAAATGAGATAAAAATATAAATAAATAAACTAAAATTGTCACGTTTTAAATGAATAGAAAACAAAGGTTTTAAAAATACAGAAAGTAAAGTAAACAAAATTTGAAAGTGTAAGAATTAAAATCAACGTTTTGAAACTACGAATGCTAAAATGATCCTAACATAAAAATGACATGGATTAGAAAGTATTTAAATATAATATAATTAGCACTACTCCTAATTTTAAAATTACATAAAATAGCGTATAAGATCATGTTGTATAAAAAATACAACATTATCCACTTGCTGATTAATAATATAAAATTTTTGGAAGATATTATGTTTATTTTAAATAATTGCATGTTGCCTTATGGGTCTTATTTTTGGTTTTAGTATCTGCAGTAATTTACTATTTTCTAGATCTAGTAAGATCTTTAATGTACATCTTTTTAAAATAAACTGAGCAGATCTAGGGATGATTAATGATTATTATATATTTTATGACCTTTTTATAAACGTAAATGTAACAACATACAAAAATTAAACTCAATTAAAATTTGTCAATTGTTTTAATGGGTAATAAGATTTTTACGGCTGTAAAAGTAAGTATAGTCAAACGGTAATTGACATATATATGTCATAAAGATCGTGAATTTGATCCCCATCCAACATGTTGTACTAAAAAAAATTTTTACAGCTGCTTTTTAGAAGTGTTAAGATTTTTACTATGCTCGTAAAATTTACAATATATAACTTGACCTAGTAAATTATGGGCACTAGATATGACCTTCTACTAAATAATTTATTACACAATTACAATAAAATAAAACCGATTATATCAGTAAAACTGTCATCTTTTCAACACACATCACGAATGAAGGAGCTAAGATTAGAACCTTCAACCGAAAAATGGAAAAGAAAAAGAATATAAATTTTTTTGCATTTTACTTGTAAATCATACTTGATTTTGGTAGTAGCAATTGACTGTCGGCTAGCTGAACTTTAAGTGGGTCAAAAATGCTCCCAATGAGGCCAAATTGATGGGTGAAAGAGACAAAGCAAGCCGAGTTAGGTTCAAAAGGAGAGAGAACAGACAGTCGTAAAGGCTTCTTCTCAACTTTTTGACAATCAAAACCACTGCCCCATCTACCCGTCTCTTTCCCCTAAACTTCCATGGAAGAAGAACCTCTCACTTTCGCAATTGCTCCTCTTCATCACTGAGGAACACAGGGATTCTGGTTTTCAGGTCTTTCTTACTGTTTTTCCGATCTGGGTTTTGTTTGTTTTGTCTTGAACCGTTTGAAATTGATGAGATTCTATACTGCATTGGGGTAATTGTTCTAGTTTTTTTGTTCATCTTGTAGATTGGGGATGGTGAATGAGGAGCAGAGGCTGTGTTTCTCTCTGGTTTTGTTGTGCCTGTCAAGTGTTTGTTTCTGTGCCACTGACCCGAATGATGTGAAAATTCTGAATGATTTCAGAGAGGGCTTGGAAAATCCAGAGCTTCTCAAATGGCCTGTCAATGGGGATGACCCATGTGGTACTCCTCCATGGCCTCATGTTTACTGTGCTGGTGATAGAGTTTCTCAGATTCAGGTTCAGGGGTTGGGTCTAAAAGGGCCATTGCCTCAGAATTTTAATCAGCTCTCTAAGCTCTCCAATTTGGGTCTCCAAAAGAACAAGTTCAATGGGGCATTGCCCTCTTTCAGTGGCTTATCAGAACTCGAGTTTGCTTACTTAGATTTCAATGAGTTCGACACGATCCCGTCGGATTTCTTCGACGGATTAAGCAGCGTTAGGGTGTTGGCTTTGGATTATAACCCTTTCAATGCCACTGTTGGATGGTCCCTTCCTGATGAGCTTGCCAGGTCAGTTCAGCTGACTAATCTTTCACTGGTTCAGAGTAATCTGGCTGGGCCTCTCCCTGAGTTTTTAGGGACATTGCCATCTCTGACTGCCCTGAAGCTTTCCTATAACAGATTATCAGGTACAATTCCCAAAAGTTTTGGGCAGTCTTTGATGCAGATTCTATGGCTGAATGACCAAGATACCGGAATGACCGGTCCGATTGATGTAATTCCTTCGATGACTTCTTTGACTCAACTATGGCTACATGGAAACCAGTTTTCAGGGGAGATCCCTGAGAATATTGGGGATTTATCTTCTTTGTATGATCTTAATCTTAATAGAAACCAACTTGTTGGTTTGATTCCTGAAAGTTTGGCCAATATGAATCTGGATAACCTGGTTCTGAATAATAACCTTCTAATGGGTCCAATACCAAAGTTCAAGGCTCTTAATGTTACTTATGATTATAACTATTTTTGTCAATCTAAACCAGGTCTAGAATGTGCCCCACAAGTTACTGCACTTTTAGATTTTCTTGGCAGTCTGAATTATCCTATGCGTCTTGCATCGGAGTGGTCGGGTAATGATCCGTGTCAAGGACCATGGTTGGGACTTAGTTGCAATCCTGAGATGAAGGTTTCGATAATCAATCTACCGAGGCGTGGACTTCTTGGTACATTGAGTCCTTCCATATCAAAGCTAGATTCACTCCTCGAAATTCGACTTGGGGGAAATAATATTAGTGGTACAGTTCCACAGAACTTTACGAATTTGAGGTCTTTGAGGTTGTTGGATTTGACTGGAAACAATTTCGAGCCTCCATTACCAAAATTTCGAGATGATGTTAAAGTTTTAGCCTTGGGGAATCCTCTTTTGGTTTCTAATCACTCTGGCGTACGTCCTTTACCTGATGTACATCCACCGGTTACCAGTGTGTCTCCCCCACAGAATGGCACGATCTCAGGTGATGCAAAGCCACCAACATCGTCGATAAGGAGTCCGGTTCCAGCATCTCCATTTACAGTCTCGAACTCCTCTTCATCTGAGTCTGTCCATGTAGAATCCGAGACACAGAAGTCTTCAAAGACGAGGAGAGTTATGTATGTGATTGCCACGGTGCTCATCATAGTCATGCTATTCCTATCAGCACTGTTTTGTATCTTTTGCTCGAGGAAGAGGAAACGAGCCGCTGAATCTCCTACTTTTGTGGTGCACCCGAAAGATCCATCTTTCCCTGAAAATATGGTTAAGATTTCTGTTTCGAATAAAAACACAGGAAACTTATCCAATCAAACAGAAACTAGCATGACAAGTACTAATAGTGGTGGTACAGAGAACTCTCATGTGATTGAAGATGGGAATCTAGTAGTAGCCGTTCAAGTTCTCCGCAAGGTGACCAATGATTTTTCCCCCGAAAATGAGCTCGGACGAGGCGGGTTTGGAACTGTCTATAAAGGCGAGTTGGAGGACGGGACGAAAATAGCAGTGAAGAGAATGGAGGCTGGATCAATCAGTAGTAAAGCATTAGAAGAGTTCCAGTCCGAAATTGCCGTTCTTTCCCATGTTAGACACCGACATCTGGTATCGCTTTTGGGCTACTCCACAGAAGGAACTGAAAGGCTTCTTGTATATGAGTATATGCCTCAAGGTGCTCTTAGCAAGCATCTTTTTCATTGGAAAAGTTTGAAATTGGAGCCTCTACCTTGGATGACTCGGCTCTCGATTGCATTGGATGTTGCCCGAGGGATCGAGTATCTACATAGTTTGGCCCGACAAACCTTCATACATCGAGATCTTAAATCGTCTAATATCCTTCTGGATGATGATTTTCGAGCAAAAGTTTCAGATTTCGGACTGGTCAAGTTGGCTCCAGATGGAGAGAAGTCAGTGGCGACTAAGCTTGCCGGTACATTCGGATACCTGGCACCTGAATATGCAGGTACATTTCTATGTTCTGTATCATAGAATTCATGTCAATCTAATATAATCTTGTTTTTAGGTATAAGTTTTGTGTTCAATTAAGCTGCAAATAGAAGTTTGTTTGGTTTATTTTGGCTTCTCCCAGCCATGTTAGAGTAGAACCACCAGTAAATAAAGCATATACAATTGCCTGAGACAACTATTGGTTTTATGATTTCAAACTCAGAAACTTTCTTAAATCTAATTCTTCTAAAAGGGTTCATTTCAGTTCTTATTTGTTTGGTTCCGTATGTCTCAAAATTTCTCTGATCAAAATTCTTTGGGATTCAGTAATGGGGAAGATCACAACAAAAGCTGATGTATTCAGCTTCGGGGTGGTGCTGATGGAACTTTTGACTGGAATGATGGCACTCGACGAGGAGCGCCCGGAGGAAAGCCAATACTTGGCAGAGTGGTTTTGGCGAATCAAATCAAACAAAGAAAAGTTCACGTCTGCTATTGATCCCGCTCTAAACATAAACGACGACCTCTTCGAGAGGGTCTCCGTGGTTGCTGAATTGGCAGGACATTGCACAGCTAGAGAGCCAACCCATCGGCCTGATATGGGCCATGTCGTGAACGTGCTTTCGCCATTGGTTGAGAAGTGGAAACCAATTCACGACGACACCGATAGTTTCTCCGGGATCGACTACAGTCTCCCACTTCCTCAAATGTTGAAGGTATGGCAGGAAGCGGAAAGCAGGGGAACGAGCTTTACGAGCCTTCAAGACAGTAAGGGAAGCATTCCGGCCCGTCCCACCGGATTCGCAGACTCCTTCACCTCTGTTGATGGGAGATGAGTAAACTCCATTGCAGTACAGAAACTTTCCTTGTATACACAAAGGGCGAAGCATTCCCTATCGGATTATCATCATCTTGATGAAAATATAATCAATTAAAACAGTTGATAGTTGGTTTTCTGTCTTTGGATTCTTAGACATGGATGGAGAGAGCTTTTGGTTTCACCTTTTTATTTTTATTTTTTATTTTTTACTTATTTGTGTGATGTTTCTTTATACAATGCAATTTACTCTGTAAAGAATTGTTGGTGGTTGGAAATATCAACAATGTTATTATCCATATGATTTTGTTTTACCCTCCGTCTCTATTGACCACCATGCATTTGTTCTATAACGAATTCTTATAATTTATACTTGGGGTTTGAAATTTGATTTTTTTTAATCCAAGGGTATTTTCGTAATTTCACTAATCTTTTTGGTAAGTAGAGTTTGTAAACGTAATAGATAATGGGATTGAAATGAAAGGAAAAAAAAAGGTTACAGATACAGTTGGAGAGAGCTTAATTATATTCTCTTAAGCTCAACTTTCGTGGAAAATGGACAAAATAAGCCTTAAGGATCTCTTAAGTTTTTTACTCGTCCTTGTGTTTTCTAGTCAGTACTGACATCATCAACTTTGACAAATGACCTCCCATGCCCCTCCTTGCTTTTTTTTTTTCACTTCTAGACTCCATCTCTCTTCTCCACTAATATTTTAGACTTCTCTCCTGATTTCCTCTCTCTACCTCCATCTCCCTCTTTTTCCAGATTTTTTTTCCTCCTCTCTGTTTTCTTATCATAATTTTTTTTTCTCATTCTCCCTAAAATTTTGGAGTTTCTCTTTTCCATCTTCCCTCCTTCTCTATTTCTTCAGTAATTTTTTTTCCTCCATGATTCCCGTGACTGACGATGGATGCATCAAAGCCGACGAAGAGGTCGTTCGCCGAAGAAAGAAGATCACTGGAAGAGGAATGGGGGAGCGAGGTTGAGCGAGGGAGCGAGGTTGAGCGAGAGAGCGAGGTTGAGCGAGGTTGAGCAAGGTTGAGCGAGGAATGAAAGATGGGAAAGCAAAATTGGGGGATTTGAAAAGCAAAATTGGGGGATTTGAAATTCAATTAAAATTAAAACTATTGAGAGATTTAAGGAGATGGATGAGAGATTTCGAGAAACAATTTGAATTAATATTGAGATTCCATTTTTCTCAAAATTAATTTGATTTGATAAACATTAATTCAAAATTAATTTTTAGATCCTGTAAAAAAAAACAATCTCATTAAAAATATTATTTTTAGATTCCCTTGATCTCGCTCTCTCGCTCACCCTCGATCTCTCCCTCGCTCACCCTCGCTCTCTCTCTTTATCTCCTCCCTCACTCCTCTTCCACTGAGCTTCTTTCTTTGGCGAATGACTTCCTTCGTCGGCTTTGATGCAGCCGTCGTCAACGAAGTCACGGGAACCATAGAGGCTGCTGGTTTTAAAAAAAAAAAGCTCAAAGATTTAGGAGTTTTTTTTAAAAGTAAATTGCTTTTTGTGGTCAGTAAAGAAGAAAGAGAATAATAGTAATTAGAAAAAATACAGAAATATGGAAGAAGGAAAAGGAAAAGAGAAACTCCAAGAAAATTTTAGAAAGAATGAGAAAAAAAACTTTGTTGAAGAGGAAAAGAGAATAATGAAAAACGAAAAAAAAAAAAATCTGGAAAAAGAGGGAGATGGAGGTAGGGAGAGGAAATCAGGAGGGAAGTCTAAAATATTAGTGGAGGGTAGTGAGGGTCATTTGGTGTGAAGGTGATGTCAGCAAATGCCTATAAAACTTGTGTTTTGAAAAAGATGATTAAAAAACTTAAAAGACCATCGTAGAATACTTATTTTGTCCATTTTTCCCAATTTTTGTCCCTGAACGAAGAATTTACATTATTTTATAAATAGCTTTTTGGGTCATGGATTATTATTATTATTATTTTACAGAAAAGAATGGGTAGGAAAGATTAAAGAAGGAGACTTTTTTTTTTACTGAGGTAACGAAGAACTCCAAAAAAGAAAATAATAATAATAATAATTTAAACTTTTATTTTTATATTTTAAATAATAAATGGTTCATTTACGATAAAATTCCCGCTCCCGCTCTATCCTAAACGGTTCTTCGAACAATGAGCAGCATTCCGGCGAACACCGCCGCCGCAGTCCAACTCCAACAATATCCTAATCCGGCTACTTCAATCCCACTTCCAAACCCGGAAACAATCAACTTCCCTCGCTCTGAAAATTCCTCAAATCGCCATATCTCCTCCAAATCCACCGGCAATTCTATCGATCCCATCGTTCTATGGACCTCTTCCATCGCTCGCTACTGCCGCAATGGCCAATTAGCCGAAGCGGCCGCAGAGTTTACAAGCATGAGACTCGCCGGAGTTGAGCCGAACCACGTCACGTTGATTACGCTTCTCTCCGGCTGTGCTGATTTTCCGTCAGAAAGCCTCTACTTCGGCTCTTCGCTCCATGGCTACGCCCGTAAATTAGGTTTGGATACAGCGCATGTAATGGTGGGGACTTCTATCGTTGATATGTATGCCAAATGTGCTCAACTGGGTCTTGCTAGGAGGGTTTTCGATTACCTGAGGATGAAAAACTCTGTTTCTTGGAACACGATGCTCGATGGTTACACGAGGAACGGGGAGATTGAGCTGGCGATTGACCTGTTTGATGAAATGCCTACGAGAGATGCGATTTCTTGGACGGCTTTGATTAATGGTCTCTTGAAACAGGGGTACTCTGAACAAGCATTGGAGTGCTTCCATCAGATGCAGTGCTCAGGTATCAAACCTGATTATGTGTCTATAATTGCTGTTCTTGCTGCGTGTGCTGATTTGGGAACGCTTACTTTGGGGTTATGGGTTAATCGGTTCGTTATGCAGCAGGAGTTCAAGGATAATATTAGGATTAGTAATTCCTTGATAGATATGTATTCTCGATGTGGGTGCATCGGATTTGCCCGCCAAGTGTTTGAGAGAATGTCTAAGCGAACTTTGGTGTCTTGGAACTCCATTATTGTGGGGTATGCTGCTAATGGGTTTGCAGATGAATCTCTGGAGTTTTTTGATGCAATGCAGAAGGAGGGATTCAAGCCAGATGCAGTTAGCTATACGGGAGCTCTTACTGCGTGTAGTCATGCTGGCTTAGTGAATAAGGGGTTGGAATTGTTTGATAACATGAAGAGGGTGCACAGAATTATTCCCAGGATCGAGCATTATGGATGCATTGTCGACCTCTATGGCCGTGCAGGGAGGTTGGAGGATGCGTTGGATGTGATCGAGAAAATGCCGATGAAACCGAATGAAGTTGTGCTTGGATCGTTGCTGGCTGCCTGCAGGACTCATGGCGATGTGAGCTTGGCTGAAAGGTTGATGAAACATCTCTCTAAGTTGGACCCGGGAGGCGATTCAAATTATGTGCTCCTTTCGAACATTTATGCAGCAATTGGAAAGTGGGAAGGGGCTAACAAGGTCAGGAGAACGATGAAAGCCCGAGGTGTGCAGAAAAAACCGGGGTTTAGTTCCGTTGAGATTGATGGTAAGGTTCATGAGTTTGTTGCTGGTGACAAATACCATGCTGATGCAGACAGTATTTATTCTATGTTACAGCTGCTTGTTCATGAACTAAAGATATGTGGCTCTGTCCCTGAAACTGAAACCTTTCTGAATACCAAAGAATCTAGTAAAGACCATTGAAGCCTATTTTTCCGAGTAATTTGATTTAGTAAATAAATTCCTTATTCTATTAATTCGAGGCTTGAAAACAGAAGCAAAACCCATGTTCAATGTACAAATTGAAGGCACTTGTTTTCTTTCTTCTTGCAACAAAAAGTCGAATCTTGAATCCCGATTCTTGAAAGGCATTACCAACACCACTAGATTACGCAAACCATTTGGACAATCCACACAGTTGGTAACAAGATGTAAGCAGGTCAGTTCGAGTTCTTTCTTTGGCCAAAATTGACGTCGAAACCAAATCTTTATAGATTGAACAAATCGAAACCAACAAAACCAACCATCAAACGGGCTCGCATGACCCTGTTGGTACACTCAGCTGTCCTCGATAAACCGTTTTTGCAGCCTATCAGCCACCTCGGCCTTCCCATGAATTCTACAAGCACTCAACAGAGCACCCCACAACGCCTCATCAGGCTCAACCTCCATCTCCATTATCAACTTCTCTGCTTCTTCCACTTGCCCCGCCCTCCCCAGCATATCCACCATACATGTATAATGTTCCAATCCAGGCCTCAAATCAAACCCCATTCTCATCATACCAAAATACTCCTTCCCTCTCTCAACCAACCCGCCATGGCTACAGGCCGTAAGAAGAGCTGTAAAAGTGAGCCCATCTGGCTTCTGCCCATCCTCCACCATCCTCTCAAACAACCCAAACACCTCCCCAAACTTCCCGTGCACTCCATAACCAGCCATCAGCGCGGACCACGACACCTCATTCCTCTCAGGCATTTCATCGAACACCTTCCGCGCAACACCCAAATCCCCGCACTTGCCATACATCGTAATCAACGCGTTCGAATTCGGCAAATCCACAGAGAACCCATTAATCACAACTACCCCATGAACTTGCCGGCCAAGCCGCAGAGACGACAGCCCCGTGCACGATTTGAGAACCAACGGCAGAGTGTGGCGGTCAATGGGTTTTCCGGAGAGGAGCATCCGGCGGAAAATGGAGAGGGATTGAGGGAATAAACGGAGAGAGGAGTGGGCTCTGATGAGGGTATTGAAGAGGAAGGTGGGGCGACGAGTGGCGAAGGAGAAGATGGCGGTGGCTTGCCGGAGTTGGGCGCAGGCGGCGTAGGAGGAGACGAGCTTGGTTCGAATGAAATCGTGGTGGGAGATGGCGAGTCTTATGGTTAGAGCGTGGATTTGCTCGAGGGAGTGGAGGTTCTTGGTGGAGGAGCATGCTTCGAGAAGAGCGGCGTAGAATGGGACTGTGCCCTGCGAGCTGGGCATTTACCAGATGAAGAAGACGAAGTAAGATTCCTTTTACTATTAGTTTGAATTTTGATGGATCGATTGTTTGCTCAACCCTAGAAGAATATTTGCTGTGAATAATATCATCTGATACAAAAAATCTGAAGAAATGTGCAAAGAATCAAGAGGGACAGAATTAGGACTTGTATGTTTGGTCGGTGATCCGAAAATAACAACTATTAAAAAGAGAGTTGTATTCTAATAAGTATTTGGTGGTACTAGGTAGGTTTGGAAAGTTTATCTGAATTTTAAAAATTGTTAAAATGAGTTATGTAATAATTTTGACTAAAATTATAACATATTAAAATGTAATTTTACTTTTCAAAGTTTCAAATTTAAAATCGAAATATTGTTTTCAATACTTCCACCGAAAACTTAAAAACAAATATGACAATTGTCAAATGGATATTTTGATTCAATAAATTTGGAAACAATAAATAGCATAGGAATGACAAACCAAAGAGATCTAAGTTAGTAATCGGTGACATGGTTAGTTTCTTGAAAAATATGATTGATCTTGATTTTTATTTGTAAAAATAAATGTATATATGTATTCCAAATTATAAGAATAAAAGAATATTGAGTTTAGTTCTCCACAATCCCTTGGTATACTAGAAAACAAGTAGAATTATTCTTTTTCTAAGTGTAAATGTTGTCAAACAAATGTTGAAGTGGGAGAATTTTTGTTCCAGATATTTAATTTAAAGTTAAGTAAAAATAAAAATAATTATTATGGGATAAAATCTAAAAAACGTTGATCAACAATAATTATTAAATTTATCTTAACTCATTAATTTCTTTTGAGATCACTAGTGATTTAATCCTATTTAATAGAGGTAACAACGAAAACATACGTTTCAAAGATAAATTAAAATAAATAAAAATTTAATTAAAAGTATAAAGATTAAAATTGAGGTAGAATTGAAAACTGGGTTCGCAGTGATAAAATTGGAGGAGGTTAAGGAAATATAAGAAATATTATTCATAAAAAGAAGCAATTAATTAGAAGAAAAAATTGATATGGGTGAGGTGCCAAATCTAGTGCATGACGTCATAATAGAAAAGGTACTGCGTGAACAGACAAAAAGCAGAGGATTAATACGGAAATATGATTAGAATTAAAAAAAGAAATAATCGCATCAATCAGTCATTTGTCCATCATCACCCAAATTGATCCCTATCCTTACGTATGCAAATCCTCCATTATTATCCATATTTAACCCTCTCCCTCTCCCTCCCTTCATTATTACCTTTCAATTTTCTCTCTTTACCCAACATTTCTGTTATTATGAATAGTGCAATTTTCAACCATACATATATATATATATATATATATTTCTCTATGAAGTATGAATATGAATATCATGGGGTAAGTACCTCAAGTTTCATATTCAAATGACAAATGAATATTGTGAAGTTCTTTAGCACCTTAAGAGCATTTGTATAGCGAGTGGATTGTATCCACCTCCTATACCTTAACTATATGAAAATAAGAATTATGGGCCAGAGGTAACTATTGAGTTATTTATGATTAGTTGCATATTTAAAATTTATGTTCAGAGAGTTTATTTTTACTCACTATTATATATTCAATAACCTTAAAATCTGTCAATTTAAATGTAGTTTAACTGATTAAGACATATATCACTAATTAAAAAAGTTGTGGGGTTCGAATTTTCACCTATACGTTTTGTTGTACATTAAAAGAAAAAAAACACCCTCAAATTCATTTTAGAAAGAATTTAAGTTCAAATTAGTAGGGAAGAAGAATCTTAATTACTTTTAGAAAATTAGTATGAATACCTACACCAACATATATCTTTTCTTTTACTTTCTTTTAAATGGACATATTATAAAGAAAATTATTCTTCTTTTTAAACAACATATATATGCAACTCGAACCCCAACCACATAAATCTTTGATATAATTATATTATTCAATATATAATTACTCTAGAGGCTAAAGTATATTATTATTATTATTATTATTATTATTATTATTTTATGGTGGGTAGAAATGTAATTAGAAAAAAAAATGTGAAGTTGAATTTGATGCCACGTCATAAAATAGCTCCGACGTCAGCAAAAAAGAAAGCAACGGTTGTAAGTACAAAGAACGTAAGAAAAGGGAATCTGAAGAACTCATAGAAACTGAGATTTTGTCCATCATTACATTATTCATCCTTCTAACGGAATTCAATCCTAAGATCGTACGGCTACTATTCTCCCTCAGTGACCCCCCCATCATGTCACCTCGCCACCTACACAATACAATATAATATAATAAAACGCCAAACGCCTACCTTTGTATTACTTATAAATGGTAGGATTTTATATTGGGTATTAAATATTTGTGCGTAGGTCGACATTTTTATCGATGTTTTTATGTATTTCTGAATTCGACATTAAGAAGGGAGATAGATCGATATTTTCATATTATTTAAAAAGAGTGATAAAACATTAAATATAAAAAAATATCACTAATTTAGACATAATATTAATATTAATAGTTTTAAACTTATTTTTAAAATGTTGAAATGCTTTTTTGTTAATTGAATCTTTTTTAAAAATTATTTTATTTTATTTTTATAATCTTTTCAGATATCAATATTTTATCGATATTTTCATCGATGTAAAATTGAGACATCGATATTTTTATTAATACCGATATTTAAGTTTTTATCTAAAAGTATCAATTTGAGTATAGTTCAACAAGTTAAGGTAATTATAAAATTATGAGTATAGTTCAACAAGTCAAGGTAATTATAAAATTATGAGTTTAAACCTTGTGGTATATAGTACACTAAAAGCTTATACATTGTATAAATATATTAAAATATATCCAATTTCAAAAAAAAAAAAAAAAGAAGTTAAACTAAAAATGGTGTACTTCGACTTTTTGGATTTTATCTAATCAATTATTCTACTTTTAAGATTTTTATTAAATTATATAGACAGTATTTAGGTAGTTCAAATGGTAAATTTTAAATTAGAAATCCGTTTCCAAAGAGATAAATATTGAATTTTAATGAAAATTATATTTTGATATCGATAAGTATTCAAGATATTGACAACCATCCAACCCTACCACATTTAGTTACTAAAAAAACACGTAGGAAATTAATTTCTAAATTCGTAGCTCTCATGGATTAAATTTTAATAAGATCAAACATCGAACATCATTGGACACACCAGCTTTAATTAAGTTTGTAGATAAAAACTAATAATATTCTTTCAATAATTTCGTTATTTTATTGCAATATGAATTTAATAATTGAAATCTGTTTACAATCAAGAGGTGGTTGGTTGAAATCTCCCATCCGTACTTATTCTACTTACAAAAAAAATTCATTGTTTTATTGCAAGTTTCTTGATTTTGAGAAGATGGGTTGGAATATAGATAGGTTTAATGATATATATATTAACAAAGTTATATTGTGTGGTTTGTTGAAGGGCGTGCGCCAGGTGGCGGAGGGTGTGGCAGTGACAGTCCCGGTCCGGGCAGCGCAGAGCGGCGCTGTGGCCGTCACAGTGACGAAGATAATTTCCAGTACTCATTTAATCATACATAATGATTTCGCCACAAATATTGGCTGCTCCAGCAATCATTCTCAAATTCCCCTCTCTCTATAAATAATATTCCACAAATTAATTATAATGCACACAATCATGGCTGCTGCTTCCAAATCCTTAGTCTTTTCTTTTGCCTTCCTTCTCCTTCTCACCTTCTTTCTCACCCACAATCTCATTTCTACTTCCGGCCACCCGCCGGCGTTCCCACTCACCCGGACCAGGAAGGTCTATTTTCTTAATAATTTTATAAATCCTTTTTGAGTACTCGTTAATTAATTATTTGCTAATTTTAATTTTGATTTTACACAGATGCTTAGAGAGATGAAGAAGAAGATGGGAGTTGTTGCCGGCGGGAAGAGGCCGCCGCCGGAGTGGGACCAGCTGAGGAGGGTGCCATCTGGGCCTGACCCATTGCACCACAACGGTGGAACCCCTAAAAAGCCAAGAACTCCATGAAACGGTGTCGTATATGCCAACAACGTCGTACACCTTCACCATATTCACGTTTTGAAGCTTTGGCTTTGGCATCCATTATTAATTTTTCTTTTTATCTATTTTATTGTTTCTCTTTTTTAGAATTTGGAAAATGTATCTCTTCGAAATTCATATATATATATATATCGTATGAATAGAATGTCCTCCCTTTGTTCATACGCTGTTGATCAAAATTATATTGTAGTTAGGGTTTGGAGCTCCGTTGACAATTAAACAAAACTTCTTGAATTTGAGGGAAATATTCAACAATATTACATTATATAATTATATATTTGCGTTTGTTGTATTGTTGTATAAAAGAAAAACAACAAAAAAGTATTTACATGTAAAGACTATTGAAAATAGTTATAAGAGGCGGCCACTAGGGTTGTTCGTTCTACATTCTTTTTATTTTGTTTGAAAAGATATTGGAACAATTTTACAAAAGGGGGGTTATGAAGAGGCAAAGAACAATGATGTCGTCCCATTGAGATTTTCCACATTTTCCTAGTGGCTTTAGTTTTAGTTTTATCCAAAATATTTCGTACCAATATGGTATTTTCTACATTTTCACAATGATTTTAGTTTCAGTTTTATTCAAAAACATTTCCTACCAATATCAAAATATATTAATAATCTTCAAATTTAACTTCACGTACACTTTCCAAACTCAACAAAATCCAAATACATACAGTGGCGGGACGTAGGTAACTAATTTAATTTGTAAGAACACTGTGGATGAAACTCCAAATTGAAACATGCATGCGACAAATGGGAAAAACGTAGACAAAGTTGAAGAATTAGTTATGGAGTAAAGTGGGGTGTAGCCCTAAATGCTTCCTAGTGTTACCAACAAACAGATCTCTGGATTTGAGGAAAGCAGGCAAAATCCCTTTGATGGTTGTGAACGGCAGCTGAGCCACTGCCTGTTTCCTCCCCAGCGAAACGGAGGCCGTTGCTCCGGCGCCGGCGCCGCTTCTGTAACTCTCCATTTTACTCTCGTCTTTTCCAACCATTAACATCTTCATGTTCTTCGTAGCCACCTTGGCCTGCCTCTTCGCCGATTCCCCTTGCTTCATTTCCTGCATTATATTCTTCCCAACCATCAATATATAATTATATCACTGCAAAACTAATCCAAAATGTTTACGCCTATTTTCGAACAATCACTTTAGAATCATGGACATCCAACAACATTCGAATGGACCAATCCGTCGATTTCGAAAGTCTTTTTTAGATAATTTAACAAATATAAGTCTGATTTCTAGACTTTTAAAATTTTAATCTTATATATGCTTGTGCCCAGTCTACTTCTTATACTTTGAAAATTTGACACCGTAGCAAAATGTTTTTTATTCGGGAATACTGAGATTTTATGCATATCTTCTGACGGCAAGCTTATACACCGTATTTGAGACTACTAAGGCAAGCAGCGGATCACTTGGTCTAATTGGAATTCTGCCAATTCCTAATTCTTATCGTGCTGAATTTATCGCACTCGGTTAAGGTCTAGTAACGACTCTTTTGGGGTCTGTCGCCAAAAATCGAAAAATCTAGTAATTTCCCTTTATATTGGAGTGGAAAATGGAATCGAGGTGCAGTTGACTGCGGAGCATGATGCATCGGGGAGATGTGTTTTCAGATTGAATTTTCATGCTCCCGGGGAGATGTGTTTTCAGATTGAATTTTAAAAAAAAATAGGACTAGTTGGATTGATAGAGGTGGTGAACTCTAACTTTTTGCATTGTTAAGTACATGGACTCAATTTTAAAGAAAATAACTAGTTGGGTAGATTTTAAAAATATTTTCAAAATCTAAACATAATTTTAAGGAAAAAAAATTAAAAAACTTGACTGTTTTAGTTTTTTAAATTCGAAAAATTTACAAAAATTCAAATATATTTCCGAAAAGAATCCATTAAAAAAAAAAGAACTAAAAACGAAATAGTTATCAGATATTAGTTAAAAATCTTACTCGAATATCAGTGATGTCTCCGATGGCGAAAATCTTCTTCCGGCCCTTGACTCTGAGATATCCGTCCACCATCAATCTCCCATGGGAATCCAAATTGGAGTCTAAAATGGTCTTCCGGAGCCAAGACGAGGCGAGCGGTATTCCGGTGCACACAAAATGGGCGTCGGCGCTGATGATCTCGCCGGTGGAAGTTCTGAAGCTTTTGGTTTCGTCCGACATGTCGTCTACAACCACGGTTCGATCCAATTTGACGTCGACTTTTTTTGAGGTCAGCCATTTTAGAGCCTTGTCCGACGCCTTGGGGCCCATGAATTCCACCAATCTTTCTCCGCCGTGGACCACCGTGATCCTCTTGTCGGAAAAGTCTGTGGCGATCTCTCCGGCCAGTTCCACGCCCACCGGTCCGCCGCCGATTATCAATATCGAATTCGCTCCTCTGATCTTTTCATTTTCTGCAGAATTATTCAATTATTGGTTTGAATTATTGTATTTGTACGCATTTAAAATAGACAAAGAAATTTCACTCCTAAATTTAATATGTAATTTTTTAAAATGTCACCAATTTTTAATCTTTCGCCCCGCATAAGTGTGACTTTTTGTTCTGATGTTTTATACTATTTTGCCATTAACTCCCTTTAGATTATTTAACGAAAATTTGATACTTGTTTATTTAATGGTTCAATTATAAAAATAATTTCCGAACTTGTAGGTTTGTGTATAATTTACCAATGAATGTTAAAAAAAAAAATTTCATTTAATCTTGTAGTTAATAGATCAGAAACTTTCAATTTTAGGCTCCTAAGAAAAAAGTTTTCAATTTAATGTTACGAGATATTTTAAAGTTTAGATAATTATTTTACACAAAATTAAAAGTTAAAAGAGATTGAGTATCTACTTTTGTGAAGTCAAGAGTTTACAGACACTTCCCAAAATTAAAAACTTTATTAGATATAACTCTCAAAATTTAGAGACGAACCCTTATTATTTATTTGAGGGGTAAATGTTTACATTTTGGTAAATTTTTGAAACTACATCATCAAACAAAAGTCAAAGAGTTCAAAACATATTTGGATTTATTTAGTTAAATTATTAATTAAAAAATTAATACAAGAGTTAAATTAATTTTATATAAAGTTTATGGGGTAGAACATTTAAAATTGACCTAGTAAAATAAAATGGTTGAAATTTTAGATACTGAGAAGAAATAGGAAAATATGAGAATATGATTTAAACCAAGGTTTTTATTTTAAGAAGGGGAAATTACAATAATGGCCTAATGAAAATAGTATACATCATTAGGCAGTGTATTTTCAAATTTTACAACAAAACAACAAAATAAAATAGGAATAAAAAAAGAATAAACCACCTCTAAAATTAAGAGGGGGTGAGTTCAAATCTCCTCCCCAACATGTATAATAAAAAAAATGTTAAACGAAAATAGTTTAACAAAAAATAAAAAACTTATTCTTATATGAGTGTGATTTTTTCTTTTAAATGAGTGTTAAAAGAATAGCTTAACAAAAAAAGAAAAAATATACACTATATATGAGTATATTTTTAAATTAGAGTGTTGATTAAAAAAATATACTCATGGTTTTATCATAAAAAATTGGTCAAATTGTATAATTTTTCGTATATAATATAATATAAATAAATATATATTTTTTTCTTTAGTGATCTGCATGTATAGGCGATGCTCATTGGTCAATATCTAATTACTTCCTGTATAAGTACAAAATTAATTTAAAACAAAAATATCACATCTTCGATAAGGATATATGCCTTTTAATAATGAATCCAACATAAAAGTCCAAGTCAAAAAAATTAAAGGCTCATTTATTTTCTTAACAAGTAAATTTATTTCGTCATAAAAATTATGTATGAAAATTTTCATTCTTTATTTTTAATTTTAAATCTCAATCAATTTTTAAAAAAGAACTGTAGATAAATTCTGTTTCTTTCTAAAATTTATTTAAAATTTTTTTAAACAATGTCTACAGTCTCAAAACAAACTTTATCTTAAAAAAAAAAGAAATATGTATACGAAATTTTATTTATTTGGGATCAATCAATGAATAAAAACATATTTAAAAACATTGGCCATGTATATGTGGATTTGACGTCGATATAAGCATAAATCAACATTTCATTTATTACAAAAAAATCGATAAAATATGAAAAAAAATCAACAAAATGTTACAAATATATAAATAATATTAATATTAATCATTTTACTTATATATAAATATAAAAATATCTATTTGTTAATTTAAACAGTTTTTTACTATTTTACAGAAATATCAATTGACATATACCAGTTTTTATTGTTTTATTTTGGGTATGGAAAATAAATTCCACATTTAGAGTTTAAAATTTAAAAATTTAATCACAGATTTAATGGAGTTTAATTACCTGCTCTGTACTGATCAAGTCTGTGAGCCCTGGTTTTGGGAAGGGGAAAATCGCGGCCAGTGGCGACGACAAGATAGTCGAAGACGACATGTCGTCCGTCAGCAACCAAGACTTCCGATTCGTTTATATCCACAGCAGGCGATGTAATTAAGCGGCCATTGGTGAAATACTCTGAGTGATTTATCACCGATCTCTCTGCAAATGAAGGCTCCACCATTGATCTCAATCGTCCGTAAGGAATCTCCAAATACTCCTTTCTGATCCGCAAATTCATTTCAGAATTAGTTTCAATCTGCAATTTCGATCGAGAGAGAGATCAGAGAGAGGGAGAATTTCTTACGGATCAATGAGAGTGACATTAGCGAAGAACTGGAGCGATTTGGCAACGAGAGAGCCGGCGATGCCTCCGCCGATCACCACCACTCTTCGAAGGTCGCCGCCGTGATTCTCCATGGATTGGATCTCGGAGTTCGTGCGAGCCAGTCCGACGGAGTTTCTTGAAGTTTAAAGGCGCGTTGTGGAAGGAATTGAAGGAGACGACGACTGGTAATGAAGTCAATGGCGGTGATTGAAGAAGAGGAGGGCGATGCAAGTTGGAGTTAATTAATTTGGGCGAACTTGAGATTTTCAGGTGCGTCATTGATTTGCTTCTAATTTCTTATAGTTTCAATCGCTTCTGTTTCCCTTTCCGAGTATTTAATTCTGTTTTGGAGAATTTTCTGTTTCAATCGCTGTTGTTTCCCTTTCCGAGTATTTAATTCTGCTTTGGTAAATTTTCTGAGAAATTCTCCACCTACGAAATTTCTATTTTCTTTCAAACTACTTTAACTATGTCTTCCTTTAAACTACAAATTTTGTCATTCAGTTGCTTTCATAGACTTTGAATTTTGTGTATATTTAGTTATGGTCACATAGATTAGTGGATAAAATCTTGACATGGTAAAAATTAGTAGTCATAGACAACAAAATAAATATTCTGTCAATTGTGCATAGTTCAATGATTAAAACATCTTATTTTTTCTTTTGAAATCGAAGATTCGATCTCCCATTGCTAAAGTGAGTTTAGGATATTATTCTTGAGAGTACTCACGATCTTTTAATAAAAAAAAAACATGAGTTGAACTATGCTTGGTTTAAGAAAGGAAGGTTGATACACCAATTAATGTCATGTGGAGAACCAAGATTGTTGTTCCCAGACCAGAACTGGTGGGCATGGCAAAGATGAGCCCACTAGGCCCAATAGGTAACCGCACATTCCAAGAAGAGCCCAATAGAACTGAGTGTTATGAGCCCGACAAGATAGCTATACCTCAATCAATGAAGAGAGCTTAATAATGTGAAAGAATTATTCTCAGATATTAATCAGGTAAGTAGATATCTCTACTGACCATCACTCTATTCTTAACAACTTAGAGAGATCTTTTTTTTCAAAAAAATAAATAGCTACCATCTTTAATGATAGTCAATAGTAAGGTATCTACTATCTGGTCCATACCTAAGATGAATAATACGTTTAAATAGAATAATACCCATGGATCGAGCATTAAAAAACTGACAACCATGACAGATGAACACA